GGGGGGTTTTATCTTAAACTTTTGGTAACTCTAACGAGATCTAACGAGGGTGATGGGTGTCTATTGGAAAGAGGTTTCTTTTTGGGATAGGATGCCCATTGCATTTGTTTGTTTGTTTTCTGATCGGTTTGTTATTTCATCTGGAATATTTGAATTTCCCAAAACAAATCATTATCATCCTATAACTACAAAACTGAGTCAGTTAGGTGTTCAATCAAATAGTCCCTGTTGCAACAAGCCATGTAAATACAGCACGGGGATCTGGAGGGATCTATTGCTCTGACTCTATCGTGCTTAGATTAGGCCCTCTAAGGTAGGCCAAAAACAACGCCACCTACCTTCGAATGTCACAATTGTCTAGACCTGTTCTAAAACCTTGCCGAGGCTAAATATCTAATGGCAGCGATCAGTTCCAAAAGAAAATACACAAAATTAACCGTCACGGTCCACGTTGTCCAATAAACGCAGAACCCTGTCACTTCACGTCGTTGTTTTGCAGAGGAGACCCCACATTATCACGTGGCATACGCGCATCGCATCCTTTGAGCTAGCATCTAGAGAACCCTCCCTACCTAAGACCAAAATAAAGAACGAGGGCTCTGGAAACGTCACTGGTATGAAATTTGAAAATCGTCCTCGTATTCGGTCGTACTCGGTCAATCTCGTATTTGTGGCAACTCAAACGAGGGGGAGGGGATTTACGGGAACGAGGTACTTTTTGGGACAGAATGCTCATTGACTTTGTTTGGCTTATTTGTTTTTTGTCGCTTTTGCTATTTACTGTCGAACCTTCCACTAACGGCCGACCTCTCAACTCCAGCCACACTTTTTTGTCTCGACGGACGGTCCATATGATGTGTCGCGAACATAACATAACGCGAAGCTTAAGTGACTCACATTATTTTATGTTACTGTTGACATATAGTTCCGCCGCTGAGTTTTTGTTAATTTTGACGTCATTGTACTTTTGATAAAGTCAGTTTACTAAATTCAAGGACATGTTAAAGTAACATTGCCAAAGAAATAAATTGCTGGCTACTCAAAAACGAAAATTTCATGTAATAAGGTATCTAAAATGCTCTGCAAAGGCAACTTCTCCACAACGGCAAAAGGGTAAAAATGGAATACATGTACCTGTCTTACATATAACAGTGAGAGAAGATAGAAGGAAGGGCCAGGGATGAAAAGATGTAAGGATAGGGAGACTGGTTGAGGAGAGGGTTGAGGGGAGAGGGAGGGTTGGTGGGTTGTGAATTTTCAAGCTGTAAAAAATAAGTAATGGTGATAGGACTGACTGGAGTCCAATTCGGTCGGTTATCATAAGAGTGATAACAAAATCGGACGACCGCGCAGCGGGAGTCCGATTTGTTTATCACGAGTATGATTAGAGACCGAATTGGAATCTAAGCTAAGGTTGCTTGCAAACATTAACCTTTATTTTACGCTAAAATAACAATTTCCGAGAAAAGAAGAATAGCCAAGTTATGAAAGAAAGGGAAAATTGGCGTTAAAATACCTACAAAGATGTGAACATTCTAAGGCCGCCGCGCCTCCTACCGGCAATTAGGCGCGCACGCACGTACGCACGTAACTACAACTTTGAATGTGATTGGTTGATTTAAACTACAACTTTCAATGTGATTGGCTTATTGAACTGTCCGATAACAACTTGACAAGTGAATTAGTAAAAAATAGGAGTTTTTTAAACCAATCACAATCGAGGAAATTGTAATTTTTATGATTAATATATTTACGCTTGCAAAATATAGGTCAATACTGAAGTAATCGGTTAATACAAAATATAACAATTACAAAACGCCGCCACCTTTGCCTCCGTTTCAAAATGAGGCACACCAGAAACCTTTCCTGTGAAAATGAGGTTTACTCGCAGTCTTCGCACGCACATTTTCAGGCAGATCAGACTCATTTTTACAGAAGGGTTCTGCGCCAAACACCAATACAAGCTCGCAGATTATTGAAATAGATCACGTGGAAAAGTAGTTATGTCTTGAGCATGAAACGTTTTGGAATCACAACTCTCTCGGGACGGATAAGATGAGCTACGATAGCTAAGAGAAGTCTATTTATTCAACCTAGATGGTCAAGGATCTATCGAAAACCCTATTTCAAACTAAACTGATGATACCCTTTCTTGAATGAGATCCTGTGCCGTCGTGGAAAAGTTACCCAAATCCTCCAAATCTTCCTCAAAGAAAACAAATAGTAAGATGACAGAAGGAATCACAGTAAAAGGGGAGGGGGGAAGAATTCTTCTCAACAGCCTCTGGAAATTGCATGCAACCACTCTTGTTGTAGACAGAAAACAAAAGCCTCGCTGAAGGAAATTTCTTATGCTATGTGTTTCCCGCAGATTATAGCAAAGAATACGAGAAGTTGCACGTGGTATTTCGAGGGCTCCAAAAATTTCACTAATGGTATCATACCCCAAAGACTCCATGGTCTCNAGGCCACCGCGCCTCCTACCGGCAATTAGGCGCCAAAAACACAAAAGCGCACGCACGCACGTAACTACAACTTTGAATGTGATTGGTTGATTTAAACTACAACTTTGAATGTGATTGGCTATTGAACTGTCCGATAACAACTTGGTAAGTGAATTAGTAAAAAATAGGAGTATTTTAACCTATCACAATCCAGGAAATTGTAATTTTTATGATTAATATATTTACGCTTGCAAAATGTAGTGTGGCGGGAGTCCATTACGTATGGACTCCTCGGCCAGGTCAATATTGAAGTAATCGGTTAATACAAAGTATAGCAATTACAAAACGCCGCCACCTGTGCCTCCGTTTCAAAATGAGGCACACCAGAAACCTTTCCTGTGAAAATGAGGTTTACTCGCAGTCTTCGCACGCACATTTTCTGACAGATCAGACTCATTTTTACAGAAGGGTTCTGTACCAAACACCAAACCAAGCTCGCAAATTATTGAAATAGATCACGTGGAAAAGTAGTTATGTCATGAGCATGAAACTTTTTGGAATCACACCTCTCTCGGGATGGATAAGATGAGCTATGATAGCTAAGAGAAGTCTATTTATTCAACCTAGATGGTCAAGGATCTATCGAAAACCCTATTTTAAACTAAACTGATGTTACCCTTCCTTGAATGAGATCCTGTGCCGTCGCGGAAAAGTTACCCAATTCCTCCAGATCTTCTTTAAAGAAAACAAATAATAAGATGACAGAAGGGATCACAATAAAAGGGGAGGGGGGAAGAATTCTTCACAACAGCCTCTGGAAATTGCATGCAACCACTTGTCAAACCCATTCTTGTTGTAGACAGAAAACAAAAGCTTCGCTGAAGAAAATTTCTTATACTATGTGTTTCCCGCAGATTATAGCAAAGAATACGAGAATTGCACGTGGTATTTCGAGGGCTCCAAAAATTTCACTAATGGTATCATACCGCAAAGACTCCATGGTCTCTTTCAGTTTGAATTCCCATTCACGGTTATAGTACATGGTTTACAACCAATCATAATGAATGTAGTAGCTCTCTGTTCGTTTCTTTGATTGTGAGAAACATTTCTTTTTTTCTCTCTATTTACATGAAACTCTTTTTTACGTATATACAACATAAATGTATAAATACTATTTTATAATTATAAATCTGGATTGGCTACATACATGTAGATTAACTTTGGTATTACTAAAAATGCTGGCAAATAGATTGTATTACGGTTCAGTGAAATATTTCTCATCTCAGTGACGTCACGCTGTCACGTGGTCACGACACGGGAACACTTTGAGCGATACCAGATTCCAGATCTCCCACGTTAGATTCAAAATGTTCGTAGCCTGAGGCAGTTGGTGAGGTGACGTAATGTTCACTTGTTTCGTCAGTGAGTTGAAGAAGCTCGGGCTCGTCCTTATTGGACTCGAACTCGAACAATGTCTCTGGGTCTTGGTCGGCATTTTCATCGGGCTGATTTGAAGTTAACGTACTAACTACTACCCGATCTTCCGAAAGTTCGACCTTTGACGGGGAAGGCAACCCTGCCGAAGCAGTACCCCCCACGGTTGATTCGCTCCTCTTATCAATTTTCAAATCTTCTTCGTTTCTTTGATCTGTGTTCTCCTCCCGCGCTCCATCATGGTCTATTTCATCCTCAGGCTTCTCTTCATCATCAGAGTGCTCGGACAAATCGTCCCACTTATCCATGTTCATGTCCCCGCTATTCTCAGATGACGTACTGTTTAAATCCATGGGGAGATAAGAACGCCTCATGACTAGATCCCCAGGGGTTGGTGCTCTGGACATTCTCTCTCGCGCGTGATAACCGGCGAGTATTGGGTCCCACCCTCGCGAGGATTCACTTGTCGTGCGGGATACCGCGCGCGACCCGGCTTTCGTTGCTCGTGACGCAACGCGCAAAGGAGGGCCTTGTTGAGTCTCGGTAGTAAACAGACGTTTGTAGTCGCTGGTGTACTCGGCTGCTTGGTCCTCTTGTAGGATATGCGCCACTATGGCGTCCTTTCGACATAACCGTCTTACTTCCTGCCTGATGGCCTCAACCATCTCCAGATCTCCAGTTGGCTCTACACCTAGGGATTCTAACGTGATGATCGCCTCTCTAAGAAAAACACCAGACATGACAAGACGTTATAACCTAACTACTATGTTTTTTAACTGAGTTGGAGTGTATGGAAGAAGCCTTTGACCAGCAATCTTGTGCGGATCAATAACCACAAATCTTCACGTAAGGTCATTCAGTTCACTCAATTACACTTTCATCCCAGACTTAACTAATCGATGAGATTAGTAAAATCAATGAGTAATCGACGGGTAATCGGATGATAAGTCAGAGATTATCGCACATGATCAATGAGTAATTAGTCACTGATAAGTCATTGATGACACTGATTACTCCCCGGTACAATCTCGTTACTTCAAAAACCATACTTAATGGAATATTTGAAGGAAACAAAAATAAACTTTTTTAAGGTATGTGCAACGATGTAAACAATATTTAACTTCCCACAACAGCTCCTGAAGCTTAAGAATCTACTCTTCTCCTTACAATCGAAAATCAGGAAAAGCATGTTTGCGAATAGATTTAATGCTTTCCAGGGAAGTGTTTGCAAGGAGTAGATAAGGGGGTAACATTTTGGCTTGAAAGTGCTGTCCATCTACCAGCTTCTGGTTGGAAAAGTTCCTATTAGCCATTTTTTTCCGTTGTTATATTCGACATATCAAAGCACTAGAACCGTATGAAAAAAATAAATAAAAGAACGTTAACTGATTAAATTATAAAGAAAACACAATAGAATCTAAACTCTTTCTCACCTCTTCACAAGTTCTTCAGTTTCCACAACGAGGCGATCTTGAAGAACGCTGAGTAACCGCTCATCCCGTAAGCCCAGCACTGCGACAGCGTTACACGCCTCCGCTCGTACAGCGGCAACCTTCTCATAACGAATAGACCAAAGTAAAACCTCGATCAATTTATCATCCACCACTCCTATGGAGCCGAGAGCTGCAATGGAAATACAAATAAGTGAGAGGAACCCCGAGAGAACTGTTTCAAGACCAAAGATCAACAACAATATTCTCCTTACTGCTTTTGTGGACTTTGCTTAATTCTCCTTAGAGAATATGGTTTTCAATTAAGATCACTTTACCATAGACAATCAGAGCCTTTGGTTTAGTTATTTGAATTTGTTACGATGAAGAGAACTGGGCTTAAAAAACTGACTACTTATAGCAGGGTATGTAATTCATGTAAGACTAGGAATAATGTCCCGAGAATATCCCTGTGAACCCTTGTATACCCTTGTAAACCCCCTGTATACCCCATGTATAACTCTGTAGACCCTAATATACCCCATGTAAACCTTTGTATACCCTTGTGGACAGTTACCCAGCAAAATGATAGGATTACTGACGACGATAACCTTTTTGTCTTTCTTTTCCTCTCTTCGACCCCTTCCCTTCCTATGACCACCGGTTGCACTTCGTAGAAACCCTGCGGAACACGCGACAGACAAGATAACGAACCTTTTATAGTATGTGCCTTGACTTTCCAGCTATTGTCATCGCTTGCCAGTCGTAATAGTGACCTCAGTACATCCTTGTCAGTGATCTTCAACTTACCAGCGGCCTGAAGGAAAAAACAAATATCGGTCCTTACGGTGTTGTACCAGAAGGGACTTTTGTGACACTTAAAGGACAGACTGACGTAAAAAAGAGCGGAAGTAACCTGCTGCGTTCCTTGTTTTCCCTCTTTTCCACCGCCTCGAAAAATACGAAAGCCTGATCGCAGGTTAGAGTTTTGGCGATGAAGGGGACATTCAGCGAGATCATTTCCGTATTTTATCTGTACGTAGTTTTAGTCTGTAAACCTGGACAGCTAAGCAGGCAACACTACCAGATCTATGTAATATTTGTACTTAGAAATCTTAAGTCTGTCCGGGAAGATAATTGAGCAAAGATGCTGTTCTTTCCAGAGATTAAAAAAGGAAAGGTGGAAAGGTGGAAAGGTGTCAGTCTCCTGACCCAATTAAGTGCCGCGCGAATTTATCCACGATAGTAGATTGTTTCTTCTCTTAGCATGTAGATGGCGCAATGCTGAGTGAGTCTGCGCAAGCACCGAGCCATGAACATCAACGAGCAAGGGAGAAACTGCATTGAAAAAAAAAACCAAAGCGCCTTGAGAGGGAATGGAAAAAGCGTGAAAATTTCCAAAGGGATTTGGACAGTAGGCTGCGCGTTCTACTGGCGCTCCCATTGCCCGAAGAAACTCTACTGTCTTCTGAAAAATAGAGGCTGTAAGTGGCGTACAATCATTCTGTGAGCTACTTACCATAGCAGCTTCGATTCTTACAGATACGTATTCACTCTTGAAACATTCTTGCAGAGCTGGCAGAAGACGAGCAGTCATTATACCAAGGTTAGACAGCTGGAAGCCAAAAGAAACAAGCATACACGTAAAGAAGTGCAAAAAAAAGGCTGTTATCAAGTACACTAGAGCGCTACAGCGAGCAATGAAGAGCACTTTGGGCGAATTTTCAATTAGCCAGGCTTGGTTTAGTTTGGTGTATATAATTCGTTCAAAACTTGTCGGATTCGAATGAAAAAACAACTACAGCATTATACATGCTCTAAGAGATAAAATATTTTCGATCAATCACACACGAACACTGAAACCAATCGTGATTTCACAGAAAATAAACCGCTTCATGTCCAATTATGTGAACTAATCCTCCTGTCATTCTTTGGTACGGATTTCTTGATTTGTCTGTCTGTAGTTTGTTCCTTCGCTCCGCTTGCCGTTTGTGTAAAACTTAACATCTCTTTCCACATTTCTCTGCCTTAATTTGTTTGATAGAGGTAAGTTTTTTTGAAAGACGATAACTTAATTCCTTCTGAAAAAGTGGATGTTCAACTGAAACGAGTGTAACTAATTGTCGAGAGTCGAGAGTCGAGGGTAAAATGTGGAGAGTCGAGGGTCACATGTCGAGGGTCGAGGGTAACTTAAAAAATATATTAAAATAAAATAAAAAATAAAAAATGAAAATAAAAATAAAATATAGTTTACATGAAATAAATTGCTGAAGAAATTAAGACAGAATTTTCTTTCGCCAGCTTTTCTTTTTTTTTTTTTTTGAGTAAAGCGTTGCGTGTCTTGGGCGGTGATACCAACAGCGCTGTCTGTACTGTCACGCAAACGTAAACTCTTATCAGAGGAAACATGCA